TGAAACGCGGGAGGCAATAAAAATAAAACCACTATCTTTACATCGCAACAATGTTACAAATATCCATAAACAAAACATTGTTGCATTTAAATCAATAAATTCTATAGGGATCGACCATATAATATTTAATTGTCAATACAAAATAGTAGGATTTGTTTTATTAGAGGCGCAAAGCTGGGCGATGGGATATTTTACTCCGAAGTTTTGAAAATTTCAAATGAGATGCAAAAAGATACAGGTACATTATGGATTGATTGACAAATACATAAGTGAGAAACAATTGAATTACCAGTAAAATTTTATTGATATAATCCTAAATATAAAGATTATGAAAATAAACGGAACTTTTAGTCAACTATGTTTTAATGTTAATTTCCATGAATATACATGAATGCTAGGAATTTCCAGGTTTTACATGGACATTTAATGTACTTTTACAATAAAGGTGTAAACATATCTCCAAACACATTACCATTAACAATATTAATGTAATATAATGTGCCCAAATTGCCGATGAGTTGAAACAAGTAACGATGGTCAAGCGCTGATCACAGTTGATACATCAGTGATTGGGTAGTTAACTGATGCCGATCAAAGAAATACAATGTAACCATCCCACTACTATACCTCCATCGACAGTTATGTAACATCACATTCATAAACAATATCAATGACACACGTGATATACAAAGATGTTACAGGACGAGGTGTTGTGGTATATGATATTCTTCTCACTCGTGTTACTTATGTTTTAAATGTTACAAGAAGTGTTTAAAAAACAGGGGTAGAGAGAATAAAATACATGCGTACTTAACTACGAAGTTATGAGGAATGTTTCTACTATAATAAAGAACGTTGAACTAAACTGACCTGCACTGTAACCTCGCATGATTTGTTCATGTTATCATGATTGGTATAATGATATGAGCTTAAGTGGAATGTCGCTAATTAATATGCAAAACTGACAATTTTAGAAAAACATGGTGTTAATGTAACTCATTACAAATTATGATTAAAAATGACCTAGTTGTGCGTCATGAAGTTGAACGTATTTGATGCTCGCTGGTTTCCCTGTTGGTTGGGTTGTATATCTTGTTCTCATTTGAGGACGTGACATTATTTGCTTGGATTGACCAAGGTTTACATTGTGCTGTCGATGGAGCAGAAGACGCTTACTCTTCCAGAACAAGTAGTCATATTCTTCATGTACTTTTTTAGGCGTCTCCGTTTAAATATCTCTTTAGTTCATATTTTCACCATTTTGTCATAGTTTCATGGAATTTGAGTTTGGATTATGATTATGTTGACATGTTAGTATTTTCTTGATATTTTTTTGTTATCTTCAAGGAAAAAAGATAAACATCCAAGTAAAAAAGGAATAGTGAACTACTTACAATCCAGTCTCATTTCCATGAGTGCATGCAGCGCCCTTTAATTCAAAGTGCTTCCAGACAGCCTATCACAACATGCTTAAATGTAACACCACATGTGGTATAGCATGTTTAATTATGAATGGTAAACTGAATCATTGGGATTTAGAAAGCACCCACCTATTGTGATAGAATCAGTAATAGATTCAATTCATATACATATATTGCATGTTTAAGATAGAATATCACTACCCAAGTAGAGCCGAGTTGCATCATGTGCCAGATTCTGTATCATGAATAGGACACATTCCTACAACAAAGTCGTTATTAATTTTAGAATTTTAATTCTAGGACTGTTTGCCGCCCTTTCTTTTGGTAAGTCATGACTCGCTATCACAAATATCCTCAACACATGCGCAGTTTAATTAGTACCACTTTAATAGTCCAGATTGCTCTGACGTTCTATCGACTTTTTTATATCGGTGTGGAGATGATGAAATCAGAACTCCGGTCCTATATTTCATAAGCGATCCGTGCCTTGATCGGCATTCAAACAGTTATTGTGGAAAGAAATCGTTATAATTACGTGTATATCACGCATGAATTGCATGAATCTACAAGCTAATAACAATGTCATGTTGCATAGTTCACGGCTAAAACAAGGAATATGATCCTTAATAAAGAATCCTTGATGTCTATAGGGTGTGACAACCATTTACCGCTGACAACTTCTGTGAACTGAAGTAACAAACCTAACACCAGAACAGGTGCAGTTGGATGTCGAATGATGTAATGTCTGTTTCTCCTACGAGAATTTGATTAGCATTTCCTTTCCTCCGACAGTCGTCAATATCATGCGTTGTCTGTATTTGATATATTGACCAGTTTTGTGTCATTTTCTAAAATATGTCTGCGGCAATCTTTGAAGCCATTGGAGTCTGCAAGGTTGACACAAAATTCTAAACAAACAACAGCAGCAAACAAAATTAAAAAAAAAACATCAAAAATTGAAATTTCACGCTTACATCTTGTGATTCATCAGTCGGAATTGACTCTGGTTAAAAAACTGATTGCAGCGACAAAAATGTGGGGGGTTCGGAAGTCACTAGTAGGGGATATTTAGCTTGAAGACACTGTCGGTAATTTATGTGCTATTTGAACATACAACTTGTCTTATTGTAATGATGGAAACAGATATAACAATATAACAACGCTGTTTGTTTCAATGTCTCATTCACGTATGTGAATTTTAAAAACACGTCACCAATAGTTACCCCATGGCAAGTACAAGTCAGTATTGTTACCCTTTCTAATCCGAAGTCAGCTTTACATTTCTCATCAATAATGGTATTGATTCTTCTATGACAGCTTAAGATCTCCTCTCATCTCTCCAAACGGTTAATGTCACTCATAGCAACAAATGATTGCTTCTGTTTCTACGATAACCAAATTTCTATGACTTTTTGTAATTCAATCGCAGAATGTTATACTATATCCCGTCACAGAAAATTCCGGCCTACGTCCGGTTTTTATTTACTCTGTATACTCTGCTTTCTGCGTTCCATTATACACACCGTTAAGCCCAAATTCTTTCCTAAGACCGGTGATATTGATCGTGTTGAAGGACACCAATAACCGTGTCGATATTTACTTCATCCAGACTTTTGTACACTTGAACTGTAAAAAACGGTCATCTTGTATATAACTTCATGTCCAGGGTATGTCACCTTCTAATCACACGTTTATAACAATAACGATTATGTAAAAGCTGATCATTCGTTTATTGTGTATTTCTAAATGTTCAAAACCGACATGTTTTCTTTTAGTCAATTTTTACTTCAATGACACCCTTGAACAACATTTTGTTAGGATTACAATCTTGATTAACTCTTTTCTCTCATTTAATCGAATTAGGTTGGATTTCACTCTTTACTAGCACTTTAATTTTAGTTAAACGATTTTTCTTAGATTAGATTCTTGACTAACACTTTTCTCTCATTTAATCGATTTTCATTGCTTCTCATCTTACAACTGTCCTCTACAAATATACTTGGTTGGAAAACATACACTTATCTCTTGCTAGTGCACACAGTGGTATACTCTACGTGTATTCTTGGTGACTTTATGGTATGTATCATTAGGTAAGTTCCCCACATGTGGTAAGTATTACTCAACGAAGGAAGGGCTACTGTGATGACAAAGGCCATTGTACTAACCTGCTAATCGATATTAGGATGAGAGTTGTTACAACAAATGTGCAGGATGCTTACTGATTTACGATTTCAGTTTAGCAAAAAAATTTGTTTCTGTAATGCATGCTACAATAGAGTTATGGATGTGAGTATGAAATTTTTGCATGATAAAAAGTAAATTATCGTTGCAGAGATAAAACTTCAAACTCGAATTTCACATTAAAAAATCCACGTTTTGAAAGAAGAACTTGATATACACTTGACACACGCTCAAACAAATTGCCATTGTGAATACTGCTGCCAAACATGAGCTAATAATGATTTATGATTCTTAAATTTCTTCAGTTTGAGTGAGATTACATATCTCATAATTATGGGACCTAGTTCAAGATTTCTCCCAATAAAGCAGCAACGATATCACCATGATGGATATATGTATCACTATCACTGGTACCTGTATCACGTATCACACTCGTGTTGCCAGCATCAGTGTCATTGATACTTGTATCACTATAGGTGGTAATTGTACTCTATTTATTGGTGACTTTCAATAATGGTGATGTAAAGTCCCATGAAATTAATTATAATCGACTGCTAAATCTTCCATCAAAAAAGATAACTTGAAATTATTCACTGTACTAACAGACATTTTTTTTTATCTAAGTTTGATAAAGGTGTAATTTGTCCATAGCCTGTTCAGAAGTATTGCCAATGGAATTCTTTCCACAATATTTAGATCAAACACCACAAACTCGTCCAAATCCGATATTTTGCATTTTATATATTCGTGATACATAGAAATGGGTAGTGGTGGTTCTATGTAACAATACTATGGACCGGTAAAAATGGAAGTAAGACTTAAGATGTCAATTGCTAAGGATTTCATGATTAAACATGACAATATCTGTGCGTCTCTCGGAATTAAAGACTTAAAATATCAATTGTTGAAGTTTTATGATTGAATATGATTTCTGTGCGTCTCTCGGAATTAAAGACTTAAAATATCAATTGTTGAAGTTTTATGATTGAATATGATTTCTGTGCGTCTCTGGGAATTGAAGACTAAGGATATCCATTGTTAAGGAATTCATGATTGAATATGATATTATCTGTGCGTCTCAAGTTAGATTGCCTTACTTATCAATGTGTTTGATGGTATATATATAAATCTATATAAAATTGCTTTATACGTGTCACTTATACATGCACCCTGACGATATAGGAATGAGATAAAGTGATTACGTCATTTGATAAAGTGAGGTTGGCGTGATATACTCACAATGACGAAATATTTGTTCTTCTAGTGACATTATTCGTTGTAGGTCATAATTACAGTCTGAAATGGGTTGTTTAAAGACATGACCGGTAGGCAGTAATCGATTAGGTTTCTTTTCATACATTTGTAATGATTTGAAGGCTAACAAATGTTTGTCCTTACCTGAGGAAGACTAGCCACGGCGCTAAGAAGCCATGCCAGTGTCAACATGATCTTGCCTCTTCTTTCTGCGTCATGAAGACTCATTGGATGCACTATGGAAAAGTACCTATCCAGACTTATCGTGACTAACACGAACGATGACAAGTAAAATCCAAGAGCACGAAAAAACATTAAAATCCTGCAGGCGGCATCCCCGGCCTCCCAACGAACCGTGATATGCCATCCCGTTTCTAGAGGCAGCATGATGAAGGCAACAATTAGATCGGCAATGGAAAGGTGCATGATAAAAGTGTTAACTCTAGACTTAATCCTGCGACTCCTAAACAATGTAATGAAAACTATTAAATTTCCTGAAGCTGCAACAACAAAAAGGCAAGAGTAGGCGATAACGGACATGATGCTGTCATCGTTGAACGTCATTTCTCTTGGAAGTTGCACATCTGTCATGTTTTGGGCAGTTATGTTTTCGGTAAACCCGATTCGTAACATGGAGGATTCTGTTGATGGTAATGTTGTTGAAGACAGCGATGTTTTTGAAAGAAGTGAAACCGACGATCGAGACGTTGGTAACATCATAGCCACGTTATTTTCGTGGAAATTGTAATAACGCACTTGACCATGACCACATCTTGAGATATTTGACTGTACTAAGACCGGGACGGTGTGATGTGTTGTAGTAGACATCCCCGTCCTACTTCAAGTTACGTTAACATATCTAACACAGCGTACCCATTTTTCGCTTAAGAAACATCTCCATCGTTGACTAATTATAGATAACACAATATTTTACTCTACCAAAATAAATGAAATCACAGCATTTCGACGAAAATAATTCGATTGAAAAAGTACTTGCCACGAAGTTCTGTACTTTCTATTACTTTCTTCCCAGGATTCACGTTTTAGATTCTCCGTCTGTAGTCCGCATGCGATTGTATCAACGGATAAGCCGTGACTGACTGTAAATAATCCCACCATCAGCAGCACGCGCTGCTCTGGCGGCTAGGTGGAACCTCGTTGGTGGTTACGCATCACAGCAACCATTGACACTGTAGAGAGCTATACGTCAATAGACAATTACCAGTATACATTTTCCCTTTGTATCTCTAAATAATGATTGAAGATGAAAAAACAAAGTATACACAATACTAACATATATTACAGTGAAAACATGGTCATTAATTGTTCAGTGTTCTAACAAATGCATATGTCATAGTTAATATATAATGTATGTGCTATAATCCAACCATAAGTATGTAATTGTTACACATCTAACTAAACCGTTTTTCCCCCGAATAATTTCCAAGTTTTTGTTGATAAGTAAATTATGTTCCAATGACTTTAGGGGGCACATGTAACCACGGTCGCCTTGTTGTTCACAGTTCTTTATATAACTCAGAAGCATAAGATTTACAACACGAATTTCTGTTTGTTTATCAAGTCTGACTTGTGGTAAATAGCATGTCTTATCATCAACAAAGTCAATAGATTAAAATACAGTCAAAACCTCACCAAACCACAATATCTCATTTCAAAGATCACATGGGTTGTGTATCAAATTTCAATTAGTTTTCATTTCACTGAGCTTTATGAAATTAGCCAAAGAAAACATGGAGAGTGTATTACAGTAGATATGTGATAAAATAGAAAAAAAAATGATATAAAAGTAATTTTATTTGCAGTTATCGTATTGTTACATTTCAATAATGCGAACATACAGAAATTATTTAAACCATTTTGTCGGTGGTGATCTATATATATCTATATGTCATCCTCACTACAAACCTGTGAGGTCGGGCAGTGGAGTAGCAATACTGTATGATTGTATGCTTAAACGCACACTTGAATTCCATTGTAATTTTTTATCCTTACTTTGTTTTCACTTTACTTTCATTATCGTGTTGCTTTTCTCAATAAACATGTATACATATGCATGCGTCAAACTATCATTTTCTTTTCCGTGTGTAGTAAATATTTTGATACGGAATATTAAACCTTATGAATATATTTGGTTCTGGTTGTTTTTGTAACAATTCTATTTCCGAGTCAGAAAGGATACAGCGTAAAATTACCAAACTTTTAAATGTTAACGGACAATTTAGGTTGTGAAAACAAGAAGACCAGTTTTTTCTGATACTATATCTAGTGAGACATATCAAGGCAAACCTCGTATACATCTCCTTATTATGATATTGACGTCATTTCAGAAAACGAACTGAAGGATAACAATGTTCGCCGTTCTCTTGACGACAATGAAGGATACAGCTCACAAATTCAATTTTCCACTAAGGTTAAGAAGTTGGCGATTTGTTAAAATAAATACTTAATATACAATTATTCGTTTGTCTCTTAAACTAATTCCGTCAATAGTCCAAATCTCCTACCAGTATACATTTACGGAAAAACATAATTCAGGTAGCACATATATCTATTTACTGAATACTGTAATGATGATGCAATGCTCGGAAATATTTTTCTTCACTTCTAAAGACTCTGATGGTAACAAAGGGAAATATACTAGCAAATTAGCTTTTCAACGATAAATCACTAGTACTCCTGATCACCAAAGCCCCAGTTAATGTCACCGAACTCCCTCCGGCCGACCAGACCCACACAATTGGAAAGGGAATAATACTATTATATGACAACTGAGAAATTATCATCGCTGGCAATCGCTGCATATTCATAGAGAGCAGGGAGTGGATATTTGTAGGGCAGTGGAAAGCTTCGCTAACGCAAAATCTGGCGACAGACTTAATCAAAGTTTGACATGTAATTGATGAAACAGCGATTATTGTTAACAAAAAATGTTACTGTATTTTGTGTTTTTTGTTGAATGAAAATGCGTTGGTGTAACTAGAATAGACATTTCTGATTAGCAAACTCTTGACAGTTTCAGGGGAATTTCACCCCCACAGATCATCCAGACATTGGAAGAATGATACTTGTTATTGTTTTGCCACCTGCTTGATTATGTTATTGAGCTGTAGCCAAATGATTATCTAGATCTTATTTCATGCCTAGCTATAAAGTAATGAGAGCTGCTATCTATTCAGACTCTCTTTCTGTTCTACAAACTCTTAGGAATAGAAATATCGAAAATATTTTTTATTCGTAATAGCTTAATGCTATATCATGAACTTGCTTTTAACTTTGGGTTCCTGAGCACATGGGAAAACCAGGCAATGAAGAAGCAGATCGGGCCGCAAAGGAAGCTTTATCGCTACCACCTGTAGTTTTAAACTTCATTTTAACGATTTTAAACCATTTGTTAAATAAATTTTAAAAGTTCAGTGGCAGGATTGGAATACCTATACCAATAAGATTTGCACTCCGTTAAACCTGTTATCGGTGAATGGTCTCCAGGCTATAGAGACAACCACCGAGAAGTAGTGGTCCTTGCCCGTCTTCGTATGGGTAATACATACCATACACATTCATATATGTTGAAAGGCGAAAATAATCCTTGGTACATAGCATGTGATAGCCATTCACCATTAAACAATTTTAATTGGAAGGCAGTGACCTTGTGTCTACTCGAGAACGTTTGTATCGTAACATTTCATGTCTAAAATCCCTTTTTGAAACTGTTGAGATTTGTAAAATTCTACCTTGCCTGAAAGATGTTGGTCTATATAATAGACTATGTTTTTAATCTTTTATGTTAACATACCCATTTAAGATTTTTCACATTTGTCTTTTACCTTTTGGTTTGTTTAATGTTATTTCCTTTTGGATCGCTGTGTGTTTTACCGGTTGATGGCCCTAATGACCTTTTATGTGTTGACGGGCCGTTAAGAACGTAATAATAATAATAATAATAACGTATAGAGGACAACATATTTTTTATTATTCATATTGGGAAAAAAACAGCTTTTTAAACAATCTTCTTCCTCCAAGAGTACCAATCTGTAATCTGTACACTGTTGCAAAAAAATGAAATATTCTGTTCCTAATTTAGATAGTCGAACACTTAGGAATCTTTCATGCCATCTTTTGTCAGAATATGGAATGATTCACCGACCAATGTCAGACAGCAGCCATCTATCAGTTGTTTAAAAACAAAAATCTTAATCTGATTTATTATTTCTTTGTTATCATGTTGAATATAGAAAACTAGAATGTGACATGCTTCTAGTAGCTTAAGATATGATTTATTCTGAGTTAATATCGTTAAATATCCAGCATGTGAATGTGGTAATAAGTGTAAAAACGTTGTGCATATTTTTTTTATTGTATACAGAGGTTTCTATTTGATAAATTTAATAATATTTCTCATTATTGTAACGTCACAATCAATGTTCTTCTCTGTGATTCTAAAAAACCTGTCCAATGAGAAAGTTGCAAACATTTGTTTTTCATTCTGTTCAGACTTTTAGTAAAACCAGTATTCGGTTTTAATGTCATCTGTGAATATCTTCAGTAGTAGATGTCTCTATCTCCTTCTCTTCCTTACTTGTTCCCTTGCTTCACTAAATTTCTATTCTGCTTTCATCTCTTCTCTTATTAAATATATATATGTAGCAAATCAAATTTAAAGAAAGTTGTAGAGATGTTAGATCTATGTTAAATGTTTTGTTTGGGAGATGGCGTTTCTAAGTTGTGCGAACTTGTGCCTTATCAAATGTACTGATAAGATATGTTTAAATCAAATCAAAATACAGTGTATAACACGTATTCTTTAGGAAATGACTGAAACTCTGCTGGAGTTAAGCTCTGATTAATATTGCCGAATCACAAGATCTGCATACAGAAGTTGCTCGGTTGGACAAAGAAGTTCATCGCACTCTGGTTTGCGACGATCGAGACTTTATTATAAGTAAATTATTTAATTTGTGTCGAGTGTATATGTTCAGACATCATGGTATTAATTGACGTTACAATACATGTACTAACATTGTCCATTAGCTTGTAATTTTTTGCGAGTTTCAAATAAAAAAAAATCAATTCAATAATTGCCAGTGTGTTCCGGATTAATCGGACTTCCATGTTCTGTCAAGTCATTAAATATCAGTGGCTACCGGAAGCCAATGCAACCAGTAACTTGAGACATAATATAATACAACGACCTGTCGATGTGTCACTTACAAATAAAAACTCTGCATGATCGATACCCAGTCACTGCTATAGTATGCGTGCGACAGATTTTGTAATGGAATAAATATTTGTATGTTTATAATTTCAATAGAATCTTTGATTCAAACTAGATATATGGAACATGGTTATATTTGTGCGATTGGTAAAATAAAGCGTACCAAGCACTCAATGTGTTATATTACATTTTGTTTTAGAGTGTATGTGTTATCCTATTTTACATTGAAGATTACTGAGTAAGTCTTTGATGAACTCTATTAAACATTTTATTGCTGAAGTGATGCAAAACACGTGTTACTACGTGATAAGATATAGAGTAAAATGATACAAAATCAGAGCCCTGAAATACTGCCTATTGAAAATGGACTAGCTTTACGCTGTAGTAATTTTTGGAAACTATTGTAAATAAGAAAGATCCCCTGGTCAAATCTTGGGTCATGTATGTATTCCTTTTTCCATTCCCAATAGATGTATATGTAGCTTTA